TAGTTTCAATTATAATAAAAATAGAGATCTTAGTATCAGAATTTTGCTGTTAACTCTTCAAGGTTTCTCTGTGCCATCCAAGCCACACATAAGGTTTGAAGCACCAAATCCACAAGTTTCTCCAACCAAGTTTAAATAAACAAAAAACTGAAGACTGAAGGATGCCAAAGTAACTGTTCTTAAATGAAGCTGTAACGTAAAGTTCTCCCCAAAACACAGGGTGTTAAGTGTCTAGTTCAAGTACTGCCAGGCTGTATGTATCTGTCTCAGACAGGCTTCAGACAACAACTACAGGTACCACTGGTTCTAGAAGGCATCATCCATGACACCAAAGCAGGGCAGAAATCACCTTTCCATTATAGATTTTTAAAAAGTTGCAAACCCCCCTTGTGATTGGCTGCCGAAGGGTCAGTGCTGAACCTGGGGGTTGAGGGGAGAAAGTGAGCCTCCTCCTCAGCCGGGAAGCTTTATTTTGAACAGTTCTTTCAGAGCTCTCTCTCTCTCAAGGCTGTCCTGGCTTCTTAGGATCCATTGCCCTTGCCCAGATGGGGGCGCCTCACTCTGACCCAGTAACAGGGAAAGAAGAGTCGACCTACCTGTGGAACCAGACACAACATGGTCCCCAATGGCCGCTTAGGCGACCCCAATGCAATTGACAAGTCAACGTGTGCACTTAAAACGTATCAGTTTATGGAACGCTTGTTTGAAGTCCTCATTGGACATGGTATAGATAATGGGGTTGATGAGGGAGTTGAGATAGCCCAGCCACGTGAAGAAGTCAAAGATGGCCAGGTGGAACCAGCAGGCATGCTTGCAGATAGGCATCACCAGAGAGATGATGAAGAAGGGGAGCCAACACACAATAAACGCTCCCAAAATGATCCCCAGGGTCTTGGTGGCTTTGCGCTCCCTAGCGGCCATGAGTTTCTTCTTTTCCAGCAGGGCGTCGGAGACCCTCACTTTGACTTGGTTCACGTACACAGGAGACCCGGATTCGCTGGGCACGTCGGGAGCCCGCGAGTTAATGGAGGTGACCGAAGACGTGGAACCAGGGGAGTCGGTTATGAGCTGGGCTCGGGTCAAACGCTTGCCGGTCTTATTGGGAGACTGTTTCAAAATCCGGGAGCGGGCTTCCACATAGATGCGGCCGTAGAGGGCGATGAGGAGCAGGGTGGGGAAGTAGAAAGCGCCCACCGTGGAGTAGACGGTATAGAGGATGTGGTCGGTGTTCACTACACAGTCCGACACCTCCTCCTCGGCTTTGGCTTGACGCCAGAAGAAGGGTGGCAGCGAGATGGAGATGGAGAAAACCCACACCAGCACGATCATGACCGCTGCCCTCCTGGGAGTCCTTTTAGCTGAGTACTCCACGGCGTCGGTGATGGCCCAGTAGCGGTCCAGGGCGATGACACACAGGTGCAGAATGGAAGCAGTGCAACAGGTGATGTCCGACGACAGCCACAAGTCGCAGACCACTTGGCCCAAGGTCCAGCGGCCAGTGACCGTATACATGGTGCTGATGGGCATCACCAGGATGGATACGAGCAGGTCGGTGACCGCCAGGGAGGCAATCAGGTAGTTGGCCGGGGTGTGTAGCTTCCGCGTCCGGTACACAGTGGCGATCACAAAAGCGTTGGAGAGCGTGGTGGCCAAGGTGATGAGCGCCAGCAGCATGACCAGTAGTACTTTCCAGGGCAGGGCGATGGAATCCTGGTAAATGTAGCCCTCGGCGCTGCAGTTTTGGGAGGGGGCAGCGGAAAGGTTGGCTTGAGAAACCCCAATCTGGGAGCCCGCAGGCGGCGGCGGGGCGCACCGAGCGCCGGTTTCCTCCATGTCTCTCCTCGCCCCGGGCGCAGCTCCCGAGCATGGAACGGACAAGGGAGAGGGCGAAAGGACAGTACAAGAGACCACAGTCTTGTCCCCCGGTTGCTAGTTATTTCCGTGGGTTCCTCAATTACTCCCCACCCACGTCTCCAGCTGAAACAAGAGGTCAAGGGCGCGGCAGCCGAGGCAGGCGAGCGCGTCCCCTACACTTCCAGTGCGCCTTGCGCTGTCGCCGCGTCTCTGGCTGCTCTTCTCCACTCCCCGTCTTGCTAAGGACTGGCCCACCAAGCCCTGCTCCAGCTTCCACCTGAGTGTCTAGTGGTGGAGGGTGATTTATTGTTTGAGGAGGGAGCATTAGTCAGGTGGGGTCTCTTACCCCCAATTGCTCGGGGCTGAGCGTCTCCTAACCTGGGCGCTCCTTGATCTGCAGAATCTGCCCGCAGGAGTTTCCTAGGTGTTGAGACCAAAGCGTGCGGGCCAGCAAGGGGTCCTGGTCTTGCATTCCCGCCCCCTTCCCCCGGCTGTGGCAGTTTCCTGCGGCGGCTGCGGCCGCCAGAGTTGGGTGGGGTGAAGTCTGGGAGCTGTGCTGCGCCGCGCCTCGCGCCGGAGCTCTGCCCTCCCTTCTTTTCACGCGCTGGCCACTCCGGCTAGCTGCCCCGCGGAGACGGGGCCGCACGAGGGGGGACTCGAGGGCTGGGGCTGCGGCTGCTCGCACCGCGTTGCCGCCGCGGCCACCTCGGTCCCACTGGCACCACTCAGAGTCATGCCGCTGGGCAGCACTGGTCTGGGGAACCTAGCTTGGCACGCGGGGAAGGGGCAGGTTTCTGAGTGAGCTGGAGGGAAGCGGTGTGCGCCAGCCCAGGAGGAGCGTATGAGCCACGAAGCAGATGGGCTCCTTTTATAAAGTCCAGGTCCGGTCCGCCCAAGCCGTGCAACTCGTGCGGCGCGGTGAGTGCGGTTGCTCGCTCCCCATCACCTTCCCTTTTCTGCCCTCCCTTCTTTCCTCCCGCCGAGTTCCCTCCCCGACCAAGGTAGCTCCCGCCGGGTCCTACAGCCCTCTTTCCCCATTTCCCATCCCCTCGCCCCGCTTGCGATCCTGACACCCAGGTGCCGCAGTTTTGGCGGAGAACGGGGATGAGGGCGTCCTGTCCTTGGCTCTCTCTCCTTCCGAGCTTGTGGTATGTCCCTCCAGTTAGCCCCACACTCTCAACTGGGGAAACAGGCACAATGACTGAGTTCCTTCCTAGGCAACTACCTACCACCTCCCACTCAGGCAGGCCAGTGCTACTTGGAGCCAGCCCCAGTCTCTGACCTTTCCGCTCTGGAATTTTATCCAGTTCTGCGGGCCACACCCAGGTTAGAAGGAGGCGCCAGTAATATAGCCTTCGAAGGAAAGGGCCAACAGTGCATTTTATACTTCCGGCATCAAGTCATACTTAACTCTTGGTACAATACAAACTAATTTTTTATATCTGGTTTTAGAAATACGTGCTTGTCTTTCAATCCCTCCCCTTTAACTGTGTGTCAACAAGAAAAAAAAAAAAAGCTGTCTGCAAAAATGTAAAAGTATCGCAAGGAAGCTCACTGTATGGGAAATTAAACCTTCTGCTACACCCTCCTTCTCCAGCAGCTCAGCAGTGCAGTTCCTTTGGAGAACAGTTCACAGTGAGCACGTTACCTTCCACAACCTGCCTAGAAAGGAGGCCATCATTATTCAAGAAAAAAAAAAAAAATGGCTCTGGGACCATCACCGCCAACACCATCAGTTTGTCTTTTTCACCTTCAACAAATGCATGAGGGTATCAATCATATGCAGCAATACCAATACCTAGATCCCATGACCCCGGAGCAGATCCCCCTGTGCTCAGATCCTCCTCCAGCCTTAACAGAAACAAATGTAGAGCAGAAGCACAAGTCAGAGAGAGTTTTTTAAGAAACTGCAGAAAAGAATAATGTACTTTCAGCTCTGAGAGCTAAGTGATCCCAACTATGAGTTCCCAAGGCCTACCTCAGTGTTTGGCAGGTAGAATGCATCTAATAAAAAACAAAAGAAAACAAAAAACTACAATTGCAATTGACTTTATCAGGTTAAATGTAAGCATGTTTTAAAGACTTTTATTCTTTTTAGAGCTGGAGATTATCTGGCTCTCCCAGAATAATTGAGAACCTTTGAAAGAAGAGCTCCTTACCCAGCGTGACACAACCCTAGTCCAATTTCCTTTCATTTCTCCTCTGTAAACCAGACAGGAAGGCCAAAATAGAGTGCCTACTCTATGAGAGAAATATTAGGCTTCAAATATATCAGCCAATGGGGTAAACCCAGATACAGTTTTCAAGCAGTGTACATTTTAGAAGAGGCAGACAAACAATAATCACATGAAGAAGTAAATAATTAACATGCTTTCATATACTGTTAAGTGTTATGAAGAAAATAAAACACATTCATGCATTAACACTGAGAGTACTCCTTTAGCTAGGTGGCAGCTCTCCAACATCCGCTGAGTGCGTCTGGGTTGCAGCACTCACTCTGAGGATAAACGTACAACTTTCTCTTTCCTCTCCTCTGGTTCCTAGTACCCAGAGCTAGTCAGGTAATATAAAACCTTTGTACCACATTTTAAGTGGTCCATTCCATCCTTTCACTCCACCCACCCATATCAGGTGTCTAGCTAGACTTCATTATTTGAAAACTGCAACTTTCTCTTAGAACCACAGCGGAAGGAAGCAAAGCAGGCAAACCTAAACCACTAGGTGGGGGCGTTGGCCAGGATGAAGCAAAAATTTCGTGTTTGCAAGTGAGGGATGTGCCAGGAAACTATTCCCGCTGTTTTATGGGAGCAGGCAAGATTAGAGAGAACTGTTGAAGGGATGGATGCGAGGCAGAGGAAGGCAGAGAAAGGCAGAGAGGGTTGTTACAATCTACTGGCAGCCTTTTTTTTTTTTTTTTTTCCCTGCTCCAGGAGCATGCAAGGGAGAAAACCACTTGCTCCTTCTAGGATTTGGCTTTAGGAATGGAGAAACCTGTGGCTTTCTCCAGCCACGTTTTCACTGCTTCTCGGAGTCCCAGACCCTGCGTAGAATATGCCACATGTAGGCGGAGTTTGGCTTTTTCCTCCTTTGGTTAAGAAGTACTTGAATACCCAGCCATCATACAGACGGGATTTTGACAGTTTAGTGGAGAATCACTTTTCATTAACTTGGTTCCCTCATTTCACTCACTCCTTTCGCACTTTAAAACATAAAATGTAGCTGTTTGCACATGGGCACATGTGTATGAAACAATCAAGAGAGCAGAAAACCTTTAAAGTAGTTTCTGTCTGGGTTTCCCCTGCGGAAAACCGGCCCCTAGGCACCGTCCTCAGCAGCGCTAGGAGGAACCCCTCTTAAAGTTTTCGTGAAATTCAGCCCGCGCAGACAGCACGAGGAGGGAACGGGGATAGAGATCGGATATCAGATCGCAGCAAAAGTTAGTTGGGTAGAGATGATTTCCTGTTTGACCACCTGGCACAAGAACTGCGCTTTAATGTGCTCCCTCCATCAGCTTCATGGGGGTGGGCTCCCAGGAGAAGCTGAAGGCGATGAGGATAACGCTAGAATCACAGTGAGCAGACACGAAGCCTGACACGGTGGTGAGCTGCAAAGGGACCACAGAAGAATCGCCTCTCCAAGACACCTCGCCCATGTTAGAAAGATACGGTGCTGCTGAGGCATTTCTGCAAGGAAGAGACACCGACTTCCAAATTTGTGGCAGACACTAACTAGACTGAATGCTGTAAAGAGAGACAGCCTCCACCTGCATGAAATCACAGCCGACACTCCACAGAACTTGCTGCAACTCGACTCTCTCTGGGCTAGATGCTAGCCAGATCCTCGGGTCTGGGGCTCTCGGGCCATGCTTGCAGCATACCTAGTCTTCCCAGCATTTCCCAGAAAGTGCCTCAAAAGAGGTCTAGGTACAGGAGCAAAGAAAAAGAAAGTACTTGAGAGTTTATGTTTGCTTTGCTGAAATTAAAAAACTAGAACACTCACGTTCTAGTCGCTTTGCCACTTTGATAAAGGAAAATGCAATCTCACTTCCTCTATCCCCACCACTTGAAAAATCCACAAGCAGTTCCTAACCACAAAATGTGGGGACCTGACAAGCTACTTCTTATTGCAAATCTTGTTTCCACAATCTATGACTACTGTGTTTGTGTTTCTTTTTATATTTTAACTTCCATCCAGGAAACAGGCAGCGGACCTTGAAATTTGTACATCCTCAAATGTAGTTTTAGCCCTTTGTTGGTTCCTCTTATATTCCTCCAGTAACTATCTTTTAAAAATTAATTGGTAATAATGAAAGTACAAGTCTTATACCTTACTTGATGAAACTATGGAAATGTTTAGATAAATGAATATTTGCATATATACAGATGCATCCATACAATTTTTGCAGACAACTTCTGGGGGTTAACAAACTCCGTGTCAGTGTTTCTGTCCATATTCATTGACCCCACATTGGGCCTTTGACTTGATACCTGTGTCATGGTACTTATGGGTTGTACACTTCATAAGGTATACTTAAACCTTGCCAAATAATAAAATTAAGTGCTTTATTTTCTAAGTGCTAGGCTGCCTACCATAAATTAATCTCTGAGAATTAGTAACTCTGCTATATGTTTATGTATAGATATAAATGTTATATATTTATAAGAAAGAATATAAACAAAAAATAGAGCAAATATATATAACATAGGTTCTTTCCAGTAACAGCCACTTTGCTACTTTAAACAGACACCCTCAACGGGTAGATTACTGCTGGTTCAAAATGAGCCCAGTTCCAACTAGTAGAGGAGCTAGCTCCCAACTTAGGTCTCAATCACATAATTCCTGACTGAAGACTCAGGTTTTAGAAGAAAATTTCTAATCTAAAACAAAGTTACATAAGTCGAGGTTGCATGGGACAGATGGGTGTTGAACATTTCTTCTTGTACAAACCATGGGATGTGTCAACGATAAGAAATTTTTAGATGGAAAAACAATGCCAATAAATCCACCAAACTTAGAAACAACTTGCTGCCTGAAGTTGGTAGCATAATTAATTAGGCAGCTCTGCTCAAGATGAAGTCACTCCAGAAAAATCAATTCAAAGAATATAGTAGTGAAATAGTCCACTGGCCTAAGGAAAAAAACAATAGATATTGGGTTTTGCCTTATGTTCAACTGGGAAAAATTGCATCACTTTCTGTGATTAGTTCCAGTCTTGTAAAAACAAAAACAAACAAACAAACAAAAAAAGGCAAGCTGTTTTACTGTTTCTTCACCTGTAATTAATGAATAATAATCATTATCCTTTATTTTCCAAGGTTTATTAAACCTTATGCTACGTGTTCCACATACATTTGCTCATTTAATTCTTATAACACTAGGAGTTGTCATTATCATCTTTATTTTCTGGATGAGGAATTTGAAGCTTAGGGAATTTAAGTAAATTTGCCAATATCAGACAGCTGATGGGTTATAGAACTGCTTTTCAAATCTAAGACTCTCTAATTTCAAGGCCTAGCTCTTTACCAATAGTTTACACTGAGTCTGCCACACAGCTCAGCATTAGCAGCCCTTTTAACCGTCCTGCTTATGGCTTTATTTCTTCCTGCCTGTGAGGTAACATCACGGCTCATAGCTATTTAAGTCTTCAGAATAATCTTTTGTTATATTCCTTCAAATTTTTCAGGGGTGGGGGACAAGTTGGTTGTGGTAAAAATCAAGTAGAAAATTATGCACCACGATCATGTTTAGCCAGCGATTTATCACTTCCAAAGCAGTGCTAATAGGTGATCACATACAACATATTCCTAAGTCTACAGCCCAAACAGAAACCAGGTTAAGCCTTACGCAAGAAGCTCCTTGACTTGCCTTCCTGGTCACATTTAATCACCTTCAGGGTGATTTTATTTTTTCAATCTTATCTATTGTCTTTTTTCTTTTCCCACTTCCTTCCCCTGTCCTGTTTCCTCATTCTTAACACTTCCCCCAAAGCCTGCCACACACACATATATGTATATTGAATAAAAACCAAAACAACAAATTAAAGCTTTGTTTTTTAATTTTACAGATGTAATGTGTTAAATACAGTAACATTTCCTGTTCTCCATTTTTAGCCATGTTAGTTTGAATATAAGTTAGATAACCTAAAAAAATTGAATTGCTTTTTTCTCCCTGCGTATTGAACATTATTGACTTGTCCTGCCCCCATGGGTCAGTAATTTATCAAAGAGGCCAACTCCTGGTGAGAAAAGCATTCAAATAAAGTTTCTTAAAAGCTAT